CGTTTCTTTTCCTCTTTAATACTCGAGCGTAAAATCTAAAAATAATCACTGGAGATTCTCAGATTTTGTCTTTTCACCACAAAGTTCATTTATTACATCCCTTGTTTTTGTTTTTGTTTTTGTTTACATCGTTCGTATCAGATGTGAGGTTGCCGAAAAGGAAGTTGGTGTAGGAATTAAAGCAAGCCGTTTCCAAGGAGATGGGTTAACAGATCAAGTCCAACTGGTGTTAAATGGCCTCTATGCTGACTTTTCATCTGGTCCTTTCCCAGTTTCAGCTGGGAACCAGTCGAGCTCTATGCAGGTTTATGGATAGAGGCGGAGAGAAAACGACCACAGAGGATTTAATACAGTGAAAGTCGCAATCAATCAGTCAATCAATCATTCAATCAATCGATCGGTTGGTAAACTTGTTTTGTTGTTCTCTTTCTGTGAACATTATGTCAAATATTTACTTTTCTATCTCTCTTTAACGTCAATTTATGGCTGCTTTTCCATTTTCTGATTGTTTTTATTCGGTTTTTCACGATTTTGATTTGTTTTGTATTATTTTTTGTGTTACTTGTGCATTTAGTTTTCTGTTTTAGTTTCTAATATTGCCAGATTAAACTTGTAGTACTATGAGAATAATCTTGTATAAGAATAAAATTATAACTTTAGCAGAATAAAGAAATTAATATGGGAATAATGTCAAAGTAATGCAAAAATAAAATCATAATATTCCCAGATGAAAGTCATAATATTGTGAGAATAAAGTCGGAAGTACTGCAACTTTATTCTCTTGTAATTTCAACTTCAATCTGGGAATATTATGATTTTATTCACATAATTTTACATATTTTTACTTTTCTTAGCATGGGCCTAACACTCTGTGATAGAGCCAAGCCTTTAATCCAGATTAACTAAAGATTGACTTCATGAGATGAAAACTGGACAGAAGATCTGTGGATTTGTCTTTTTGACGTTTTTGTAGTTTTATAGATTTATATTCCCTCAGTTTCTGATAGATTCATTATCTCTGGGTGAATATTGTAAATATTAGCACCGTTTTGGTGTTTTACATCCTTTTCTGTTTCCTAATTTTTATTAAGCGATGCTGTGGCCTCCATCCTTTGCACGCTCGTGGCCTTTGCCTTGCAGACGGCACCTCTAATCGTTTAAAGTGTTACAGCGTCAGCGGCAGGAAGGAGGAAGGAGGCCACATCTGGCCAGACCGCTCCAACAGCCCGGGCAGCATACCTTCAGCCGTCCTCCACTCCTCTGCCTCTTCAGAGAAACTCCAACACCCAACGCTCCCTCTGTCTACTGAAACAGACCCTGAAAGGCGGTTCACGCCTTCATTTACGACCTTATTTTGGCATCTAGATTGTGTTAATCTGAATCAAACTACAAAGGAGTTGCTGGAGTGCAGTAGAAAGGGAGACTTTTAATAAGAAACTTTTTCCTCTAATAACTTGTTGTTATTAGAGGAAGAAAAAAATACAATTTAGCTAAGAAAAAATAACACAACATGTTCTCCAATTGATGAAAACATGTCATTTTGGAGCTATATCTGAAATAAGTGATTTGGAAAGTAACTGTTTCACAATGAATTATTGCTGTAATTGCTCTTAAACATAAACAATTTAAAGAAAAATAGAATAAGTGCTCATCTAACTGTTTTCTCTTCATAGTCAGCACTGAACTAAAGTCAAAATGGCTGCAAATAAACGTTTCATATCAGTCGATACAGATAATTCTTGATTTTTTTTTTGTTTTGTTTTGTTTTGTTTTAAGTATCTGAAATTCTGCCAAACTGGTGGCGTGACATTTCCTGTTTTACCCACAGTTTTCATTCCACGTTGTTGTTTATGTTTTAGCCAAGGTGGCAAAACCTTTAACTCCTCCTGCTGCAAGTTACTCAACAAGTTGTTGCTAGGTAACCAAAGAATGAATGAGTTGCTAGGTAACCAAGGAATGAGTGAGTTCTTGATTCCACCAACCTAGCTTAGCTGGCTGTGAGAAGTTGAGAGGCTCAAGCATAGACATAATATAATATTATGTCTATGGGCTCAAGACTTTCCTCTGCCTATATCTCCCAGAATGCTGTGTGGTTCTGTGCGGAGTGAAATCCATACATTGAATATTGATTATTCTATCAGATGTATTATGATATTGATATTGATCACGGATACTTAAAATAGCATGCTAGCACTTTTTTCACTTGCTGACAGCAAATCTATGTTGATTTGTTTATTAATTTATTTATTACTAAACTCGGCACGTACTTCTTTATACACAAATCTTGATTTCTAAGTGATGCACTCACAAATTAAATACCATCACTCTGCTACTTGAAACATTAATTTTGGATTAATTCATTTAAACATTTCAACTTTTATGATTATGATCTGATAGGGATCCATTAAACCAGCCTGATTTGAAAAAGGAAATGTCAAAAATGTGGAAATTTTATACGAAATTGTACTAAATTAAACAGAGGTAAATCTATAGACAAACATCAAATATGAGTCATGTTTCATTTAGGTATGATGGCACGACACAGTAGAGTTTTATGCTCTCGCTAAAATAATCGCACAAGCTATTGGCCCCAATAATATTCAAATACCAAACAGAGATAAACAGAGAGCCCTTTATGATGATGTATTTAAATATTAGAGGGAAAACGTGTTGCTGTCTGTACTTCCGCTCACATTTCCCAAGCAATTCCCCACAATTTAGCTTATGTTTAAATGTGACTGAGTATTACAGATGTTTGTAGGAGATTTGTTAAATTGTACATTTTGGAATAGCAAAATTGAGCCAAACTAATTATGAAAAGTGTCTCCTCAAACTGTGTTTAGCCATGTCATTTAAAGTCATGTAACAGTTATTTTCCCTGAACTCTTAATGATATGAATAAATGTAAACAAAGCCATAAACCATGTGACTGGAAATCCTTCACCACTCTACGCTTTTATACCTCAAATTATTATTCACGTTTCCTTAGATAACAGCCACAAAGTATTTCAAAATATTTCATAAGGATTTTATGTAATAAACCAACATAAAGTTGTGCAGAACTGGAAACTGGATCCATAACTTTCTTTTGCAATTAAAAATCTGTAAAGTGTGGCCTGCATTTCTAATCAGATCTTTACTTTGATTCTCCAAAATAAAATTCAGTGCAACCAAATCCCTTTAAAAGTTACATGAAAAATGTAGTGTGCACATGTATTTGGGGTCTCTAAATAAAATGCATTGCAACCAAATGCCTTCAGAAGTAATTATTATACTAAGTAATTGGTGAACAGATTCCTGCTGTGTGTAATTTAAACCAAAGGTGTCCAAACTTTTTGTCACATGGGAAAAAATTGTCAGCTAATAAGTATTCACAGGCCAAAATATTAGTTTTAAATGCTGAAATCACCAACTTTTTGTAGAAATGGGATAGTAGAGCTGACACTTCAAAACGTTTTTTGCATGTTTTCCTTGTTAAATGAAAAAAAATCCAGTTTGCTAATTATTATGAGCTCAAGTAAAGAAAATTTAAAAAACATTTAGTCTGTTCTCAGCTTAAAAACAGGATATAGGTTAGGTTTTATCTGGAAACACTTTTTGTATTCAGCCATAATTTTCATCTGTTGTCCCTGGAAAATGCTCAATTTGTCTTTCTAAAAACAAACAAGGTTCAAATGACTTGACTACACAAATTCTGCCAATAAATACAAAAAATACAGTCAATACAAACAAAAAATACCAAACAAGACAAAAAAACACAATTATCATAAAAAGTATAAGATGTAATTAGAACTAAATTAATCTAAATGTATCTAGATGACAATTATTTCCCTTATAACATGGGAAGAATGTCGTGTTATAAAGAACAACACTGCTTCATCATATTTTTACTAAAGTACAAGTACAAAGTAGTCGTCAAGAAATGACTCAAGAGTAAAACATATGTGGTAAAAAGTTTACTCAAGTACTGAGTAACTGATAAAATTATCAACCATTAAATATTTAAAAAATACATCATCAGATGGACCAAAATGTAAAGTTAAGTGGAAGGTTTTTTTTAATTTTTATTTTAAGGATAGAAATGCTAGGAATTCATATAAATAACAAAAATAACAAAATGATGCAAAACAAAATATCCAAATCAGTGTCTTTCAATAAAAAACTTACACACTTTAACACAACCTGCAGGTCTATGTCTGGTGAATTTCTGGTTAAAACATGTTTGCTTTTCATTCAGTGGCTAGAAAATCCAGAAATTTTACTCAAGTAAAAGTAGAAATACTTCATAATAACATTAGCCAAATAAAAGTAAACAGTACGGAATAGTAATGTAATTAGTTACTGCCCAGCTCTGCCATTGGAACAAATACATTTTCATCAACATAAAGAAATTATTTATGTGAAGGATTCAAATACATGAGCCTGTATCTTTTCAGCAAGATACAGGCTCATGTATCTGAAAAGTTAGTTTTGCCTTACTTTAAGATATTTGAAATAGAAACTAAACCAAATTATTTTGTAAGGTTTTGCTTTTGCAGGGTCCACCCCGTTTCCTGTGCCGCCCTGGGTAACTGCCCATTTGGCCTGTTAGAAGCATCCACCGTGTTTCAGAGTAAACATAGATGCTGTTTTATACATTTTAATGAGTATTTCATTAGGAATTTTAAGTCAGTTTTGGTTGTCGGCATGAGTTCGTGTTTTCATCCGGCTGAAATCGTGACTTTGCCGTTTTTCTTCCTGCCGCTCGTCTTTTCTCACGGCTCCCCACCTAAAAGGGGAATGGAGAAGAGGTGGAGATACGGAGAGCGAAAAAGAAAGACGGAGACAGGGAGAGGAGGGGTAAACCGGTTCAGCAGGTATACTGAGGCCTAACCCAGTCTCCCTCCAGCCTGTTGTCACCGTTATTTCTGCCGCGCATGCGTGCTGGCGCCCGTTTCCTGCTTTTTTTCTCCTTTTAAATGAGCACCTGAGCTCCTGTTTTACCCCCCCCTGCCGTGTCTCAATGTGTGTGTGTGTGTGTGTGTGTGTGTGATCGGGGATATCTGCCGTTTTTTTTTTTTTTCGTTTTTTCTCTCAACCCACTCTCCCGTTATTTGAAGGCGCTGCGGAGTCCGCGCTGACTTTACCTGCCTCACCTGAGCAGACTCACCTGTCCGGACCTACTTCAAACCTGGAAATCTGACTTTAAGAGAAAGAAAAGTGCTAAGATATTAGAAGATAAAGCTTGGGGAAACAAGACGAAAAAGCGCAAGACGGGGGAAAAAAGAAGAAGAGGATCTACTCTTTCCATTTTCCCCCTCAGCTTCCTGCTTTTAAACGGTTACCTGGTTTGACGTCGCTACTTTTCTGAAAACTTCCCTCGCGCTAAATTAAAAAAGAAATAAGCCAACACGGACTGGCTGGCTTTGATCGAGCATGCCGCGGGCCTTTCTGGTGAAAAAGGCGAACGTTTCGCCTGGAAAGCGGAACTGGAGCGAGCTGCCCGATCATGAGCGGGGGGACGTCTACATCCCAGGTGAGTCCGCTGCTGCTGTAATGAGCCATGTTCGCTGCTTCAGGAAGAAATGAACGAAACGGAGACCCGCCAAGCGGAGGAAGTGCGTGACTCGGTGCCTTTACGCACAGATTGGAGGATGTTTTACGCGGGGTTTTGGGTCGGACCGGGAACGCTGGTGTCGGTGTCGGTGTGGCAGGTGGTGCACGGATGAGGGTCCGGAGTCTGGATGCGAATAACGGGAATCCCGGCGGGGCCCCGGAGAGCCTTCGGGTTCAGCGGCTGCTTTGTTTGTTTTCGTTTGCGGATAGAAATCCATACTCATATCGGCTTAAACATAAATCATTCAATTAAAATGAACATAAAGAGATTATATAATCATTAATTGTTTGCCTCCTTTCGCAACGGGCCTTTCTGATTGCTTCCCAGATCGACCTTCAACCCCTGATTGCCCTCCTTCCTTGTTCAGTGGCTGCTACTTATAAAACTCCAGGCTGGCTCGCTCCCTGACATTTGTTGATTCACTACAAATAAACAGAAAACACTTCAAATTAAGAGGCAAAAACGATCCGGGTCTCTGAAGTGACACTCTTACTGTCATGGTCTCAACCTGGGGAACATCTTTCTGTCCCCCTCCTCATCTTTTTGAGAACAATCCCCATTGTTGCCGTCGGCGGAGTTTTTATTGTAACAGGCCGCCGGTATCAGATAACAAGTAACGGACTACACCCTAAACCTCTCCACTCTCTGACCCTTCCCCCGCTCCTTCTTCTCTGGGTTTGTTTGTGTGCGTCTTCATCTCCTCTCTCCCGTTAACTTTTAATCATTGACTTCTACATCCTCCTCCATGGCTGTTTAGAGACGGCAGGAGCAGCAGGAAACCCGATTTCCTGCTGCTCTTAAATATAATATATATGTTAAATATGGCATTTATTCAGCTTGATAAATTCTTTAAATTATTAAAATTACACTTCGTTAATAGGTAATTGTATAGGTAATTATGTATGATTTGATGATAAACAGTAAGTCCATGTTGTTACCTCAAAAAAGTCCTTTAAGTTCTTCTATTTTCAAATATTTTACTATGGCTTATATTCATAAAAATCCCAAAATATTATTGAAATTCACCTGATATGGGCCTGTCACTTTTATATAAAGTATATGTTTGTTAAATATTCTTAAAAAAAATAAAATAAAATCAGTTGGCACCCCAAAAATTGGGGCCCTGGGCTACAGCCACATAAACCCTTCCTAAAATCTGGCCCAGGTTTTATACATAATTAGTTATGAACTGATACCAACTGATGATGGCTGGCTTAATGTGTCCATTAACGTTGTTTCACCTTAAAAATTACTAAAAATTCAAAATTTTCAAATACCTGACTGTTTCTTTGGGCTGCCCTCAAAACTTTAATATCTGGGCTACTCAGAGGCAGGCAGTCACTGTTACATTTACTTCACTAAGTTTTTGAAAATAATGTACTCTTAGGAGTTTATAACACCATAGTTTTACTTGAGTAAAAGTGAAAGCTACTCTTACTCGAGTAAAATTCGAGATTTCTGTTTTCTCCACAGAAATAATTATACAAACTTCATTCAGTTTGTTTTCCACTGGATGAAAAACAAACAGATTTTAACCAGAAATTCACCAGTACACGTCTAGACTTTGTCAAAGTGAGACCTCTTGTCTGGAAACAATCTTTGTTGTTCTACTGCTATTTACTACTAGAGGAATATGCAGTAAAATCACACACTGTCACTGGAAGTACTTCACCCCTTTCTCACATACATGTTTATGTTTTTACATATGACCTACTGTAAGTATTAGTTTCACATTTTTATTGAAAAATTGTTTACATTTTTTAGTCTTATTTTAGTATTTAAAACACCAGAATTTAAACATAACTTCTTCTTTTTTTTCACCAAATACTTTTTTACTTTTACTTGAGTAAAAAAGTAGTAGTGATACTACTACTTGAGTATAATCTTTGGGTACTCATCTATTAAATGCCATTAAAGCCATTCAAAACAAACATTATTCTTATTTTTTTTCCTAAGTTGCCATTCGTATTTCAGCAAAACTCTGTTTCCAGTGGTTTTCTCCTTTAAGTCGACATCATGAAATGTCAAAGCTTTGAGATCTTTGCTTCCTTCCTGCTTTTCAGTGCTGTGTTTTCCAAAAAAACATAAGAAAACAAAATACCGTTTTATGTGTCACCAAACACTAAATGTCTGACATGCCAACCCCTGTGACTTCCTGAGAAACACTTGGCCTTAAAGGAAGCATCATGATGTGCAGGTTCATGTTATGTGACTCTAAAAGTCTGATAACGTGACTGTGACGAATATCTTTATCTGGAGAAGTGCCGTTCTCTAACTGCTCACTAACTGGGCTGCCATCTTGGAAATCTCCCTCTTCCAATTAACTTTGACCAGTCGAGAGGAACAGCATCAGCTTTTTGGCTCAGCATTTCTCTCATCCTTTTTTATTTTTAATCTGGGTAAAATTATTACATCATTTTCTTACGATAGAAGATGTTACAAAGTTTTTATAAAAAGTCATGTTTAACCAAAGACTTATTTAAAAGTCAACTTTGATGCAGCTGAGTTAACTTTTGTTTAATCAATTAAATGGCTAAAAATTAGCAAACTTTTTGAAAGAAAGTGACTCAAATTAAATTCTTATACAAAATAAATTTGTTCCATTGAGCTAAAAAAAATTTAAAAACAACATGCTTTTCTTTTACCACAGTAAATATAAAAAAAATCTATTTTAAGCTTTGGATTTGTGATGAATAGTGCATTTTATTCATCACTACTTGACTTGACTTTAGCTTTCATTTCATTTTCTTTGCCAATTTTGTCCCATGTGACAACAAGTTTGGACACCCCAGATTTAGGAGTATCAAGCTCACTCTTTCAGAAGAATCTCTGTTCATTTCAGTTCAAGGATTTTCAGTGCTAGCTGCATGCTAATTTTTTTTTTGGCACGCTCATGCCTCCCTTTGACACAGTTACACCCCAGGCAAAGAGCCACGTTACCCACATCATCACCCACTACTGCGTATTTTTAAGATATTCCCATGCTGCTGCCTGCAAACCCACTTTGAATTTTACTAAAAAGCAACTGCAAATGTAGAAGATCCTATTATATAATTTAAATTTAAGGATTACATGTCAAAAACTAAACCTGTGGCACCTGTACGCAGTGACGCATCGTCAACACCCTGAACAAAACCCAGCAACGGTCTCAGGTACAGTTTCTGGTATGTGCCGTTACTTGATGTACCTGCCTGGATTGCGTTGGCGTCCACACACACCTACTAAAGAGAGCCCGCAGTCAAATGAAAACACACACACACACACACACAGAGACAGAGGTATGATAATTACCTTAGATGGAAAGAGAGTAGAAGGCGTGTTGAATACTTTTTATAAGCCACAGGATGCCATCAGTTTGGACAAATCTCCAGATGGTGTGTATTTATGTGTTGGAGTTTTATTTTTATCTCATAATCCACAAACATGTGCCAGGACCAGTTTCTGATGTATCATCGGTGTGAAAACAGTTTGCTTTGGCCCACCTCTGAGATTACACACAACTGATGAGGGTTTAGTTGAATAACAGGAGTATTAATGTTACAAGCAGCAACAAAAACATGCAGTTTTCCTTCACGTCAATGCCCAGAGTTAACTGTCCATTGAATATTTAATTGGGAAATAGTTTAATTTGGGTTACATTTAGATGTAAAGCACAATTACATAAAAAAAATCTTAAATTTGCCTTTCTTAAGAAGTCAGCAATAGCCTGTAGAGCCAGTTATTCCACATTTAGTGTCTTTATGCAAGAATGCTCCCACTCTTTTAAGTCATGTATGTTTCTCGACGACATAATGATATATTTTGAATTGTATAAATTCATTGGTTCAACATGTCAAATGTTTATTTTAATGGTAGAAATATGTGGTCAAAGGTGACAGTCTTTAAGGAAATATATGTTGTTGTTCTGGATTTTCCACCAGCACAAAGAAAATATAAGGTGCTGTAGCTTTAACTGTGACTAGTTGATATGAAAAAGAAACAGGAAGTTTTTGTTTGAGATTGTGTGTTTTCTTCATAGAACTATGTAAGATGAGATCTAAACTTCACATAAAATACATATCTTAAAAATCTGATTCATAAAAGTTTAGGCCCTGCTAAAGTAATCTTTTCCACCATCAATGACTGCAGACCTTCAAACAAATTATAATCTGTTTGAAGGTTTGTGGGGTAGTAGAAATATTCATCCAATGAAGTCTCTCCTTATGATTTCACCTTACTACTTAAGGCGTAATTATCTTTTTTCATTTATAAAATTTGATTTTGTGGGTCTTAAATGATCTCTGTGTATTCTGGGATCTACTTTTAGTGTTGCTGCTAAAGCTGCCTGAAGGTTAATATTTATTGAATGGAGGAAAATGTAACGGACCCTATGAACAGCCAGTTGCTGCAGACAATACACCTTTAGCAAACACACCCTGACTCACACCCAATGTTTGATAAAGTTATCTGCTGATTGTTGACTCTTTCTCTCAGCTGAACCATGCTATAAATAAAAAAAATAACATATTGAAACATGTGCAAACAGCACTGGTGTTCCTCCTTCCACTTCATCATGAAATAAAAGAACTTTGGGTATTTTGAACCCCATCATCCAGTAACACCCAGACATACAAACATCTCATTCATTGGTGATGGGGGGAAGGAGGGGCGAGCAAACAATGCAAGTTGAGATTAAATGTCCACAAGCAGCAGTCACCACAGGAACTATCAATGCACAGAGGTAATTAAGACTTTTAGGCCATTTCAAGGAAATGTTATTTACTTTTCTTCTTGTGGTACTGATCCTTTCAACAAGTATAATCTTCAGCAAACGAATAACAATCAGATGCTATTCTTCCATGAACTACCCATCATAATTACACAATTAACTTTATAAACATCTGTTCTTTTGTAACATTTTGTCTTTCAGACTGCAGACCGGAATGCTCAATTCCAATTTTTTGTGAAATGTATTTTTTTTGGCATGGGCGTTCACACTTTTAAATATATGCGACTTGTATGTGATCTCCAGTGTGAACTGCAAACGACCTGAAAGTGTTCCGCATGCGCAGTAGAGGGCGCAATAATGTCACACGTAGCCAACCGCTATAAAAAAGAAGTGGCGCTCAGTGTTTGCGGAAGTAAACGTAGACGTTAACGGTGGAGCATAGCTTATGATTTGTAAGTTGTTGTCTAACCGGAGCCATTACATTAACAACTTAATCCTCATTATAGCCCATTATGGTTGTTGATACACGTCCTGCGTGTATCAGGACGCAGAATAATGACGTTTGTCGAGTATCAATGACGTTCAGGTCGGATGACCTGCGACCTGGCCGTTCGGATTCAGGTCGCGGTTGAAAAGATCGGATACGTATTGGCTTTAGGAACATATATCCAAGGTTACGTTCACACTGCAGCACGAGTGACCAAATCCGTTCTTTTTTTATTTATTTTTTATTTTTTGCCTTGATGCCATCTGTATCTGATATTTTTATGACAGTCTGAACAACACAGATCGGAGTTTTTAGAATGGACCCAGGCCACTTGGTATCCGATACGTATCTGATCTTTTCAGATGTGACCCGAGTCTTACGTGTGAAGGACGTACAGAGTCTTCGTGTGAATAAGAAGGTTCTGGTGACTGGCAGAGTAAGTACATGTAGTACAAGTAGGCTAAAGTCCATCTTAGCTTGCAGATAAAAGCTACATTATAGCTAATTCTGCTAGTTCGGCAGTAAGTACTACAGTAAATATCACTGATATTTATCTTAGTACTACGCAGAGTTGGGTAGAGTACTCAATAATTTTGAGCAGTTATGATGTACTTATGCTTGTAAGTTAGATAGGAACGAGGGGAGAGCTAGTTCTAAGCTTGTGGCTTGTTCATTGTTGTCATAGCAACCCCATAGCGACTGGTGTGGGCATCCTGTCGTTTATCATTTATTGTGATACATTTCTTATCGGGATAACATTTTGATTTATTGGTTTCATAATAAATTCCAATTCCAGCACTGCTTAAAACCCTTGAAAGCTGTCCGTATTGTCACTATTTGTTCAATATCAATAAATATCAATATAATTAACTGTGTATAGTTTAGTGATACAAACAACACTTCTTTATTTAAATCAATCAATCAAATTTTGTTTGTATATCACATTTCAGTAGCAAGGCGTTTCAAAGTGCTTTACCTCACAACAAACACAAAAACACAAAGTCATGCAACATAGAATCAACAATAAAAACATTACATTAAGTCAAGTGCCATCTTTAAATTCATAATTGATTACATATCAAATACAACTTGATTATTGTCCTAAAGAAATGTGTTTTTCAAGAGCTGTATGTGATAAAACTTTAAGTCCACATCGCCCAGCTTTAAGTCGTAACTTAGTATTGTTGACAGGACTTCATAATAACCAGATGGCTTCTCGGTAAACCTGGAGATCCACTGGGGCATTTCATTAGCAAATATGCTACCGAGGCGGCACAGAGCCCTCACTGTGTCACAGCGAACCGTTAGCTCTGTAAGTTTATAGATCGGCTTTTGTGTCTTCTCATCTTTAAAGCTAGCTGCAAGGGCCTCATTTGCATTTACATTTGGGTTTTATCAGATTCAAGCCCGACAAACTAAACTGATTCCTTGTTTTCTATCAGCCACACCTGCCAATGGGCTGCCTGAAACACACACGCACACACTCACACACACACACACACACACACACACACACACACACACACACACACACCAAAGCACGCCTTCACAACGTGCCGTTGGCTTTTTCTGTCAATCAGGTTGCTTTCTTTGACATTTTCTGTTATGTTTTGCTCTTGCACACCATGGTTATAATTTAGTTTTATTTCATTGTGGCATTTTCTTTGTCTAATTCAGTTACTTTTAGTTAACTTTTAGAGTGTATTTGTTAGTTTTTATTAGTTAAATATCGTTTAGTTTCACTTATGTTTTTAGTACTTAATATTTTAGTTTTTCATATCTTGGTTGGTTTTTAAGTGCAGATTACAATATATATAAAATAAGTATTGTGCTGTGATTATGTTTTTGAATTGGGTAATGAATGCTCATCAGAAGATACCGTTTTCAAAAAAATTTTCAGTTGTTGAACAACCAACTTTCTCTGGAGTTTTTCCCCAACTTTTGCTGTCGCCATTTTGCCAATTAGCCGGCATGTCACCTGGAGGGTTATGGAGGGCTGTAATTTGCAGACAACCAATGTAAACTGCTTCTGTGGGCGGAAAAAGACGAATACATAAATTCATCAACACGAAAACGAGGGATATTATATCTGTTATTGAAAATGTTCTCTCAATTAGCTGTAGTTAACTGTAATAAGCTTGGTGTAGACCTTTACCATAACGCAGAAACCCTGATGCTCAGCCCTGCGGAGGTGGATTGTTTGAGGAAGGTAAAAAGCTGGTGCTGCAAGACCGTCTGGTTCAGCAAGTCTAACTGTAATGGGGATGTCTTTGTATAGGTTGGAGTGCGTGTGTGTGTGTGTGTGCGTGCGTGTGTGTGTGTGTGTGTGTTTCCAGGCATGTGTCTGCGTGCAAAGTGAGTCTTACTCGACAATAGCCCAAACAGGAGCACACCTACCCACGCAAACACACTTATTTAATTCTGTGTGTTTGCTAGTAGAGCAATTGTGCAAATAAGGACACGGTGGAAGATGGCTGCTTATTGTGAAACCCAGTAATGCAGTAATTTTCTTCTTTAATTTTCTGTGTTTGTCTCTCCCTCCTTTGGTCAACAGTATTCCACTTCACATCTGGCAGTTTAAAACCACATGGACGTTTTGTGTTTTTTAAACATGCATTGCCAGGTTTTGCATCATCATTGATATCAATAGAATATTCACTGAACTCCAGAACCGCACTGCATTCTGGGAGATGTAGGCAGAGGAAAGACTTCACCTGCTCAACCTCTCATTTCTACTAGCTATGCTAGGTTGGTGGTGGTTGTTTTTTTTATAATACATTATTTTACATTGCACAGAATATCTTTAACATAATGAGAAATATGAGAATTCAATCATAAAATTAATATAAAATAACCACAGACGTTGACAATATTGGTGTTAAGGTCTTGCAAACTACAAAGTAGAATAACTAAAGCAAAAAAAAAGTTAAATAAATAAATGAATATCTATATGAGTAAAATAAAACAATGTAACAGTTTAAAGTTACGCCGCTGTGCCTCACAGCTACTTAAAGATAAAAAAACAGCGGCATTCAGTGAAAACTATCCATGAAACAGGAAAGGTCTCGAGTTTGGCAATATTTCAGATTTTTACAGCAACAAAACGGATCAATAATTATTGATATTGACTGATATGAAATGCTTATATCATTTTTCATCCATATCGTCCAACCTGAGGTTCTTACAGAAAACGTTAATGTAAAATAATCACAGCACGTCATTTTTTTTACCCTTGTCCATCCAGTCTCCATCTTCCCGAACTCGGGTCTGATGACGGAAGTGGAGGCGAGTCCTGCGGAGACCGTTCCTCTCTGTCTCACCAAACACTCTTCATCGGACAGCCACGCCCAGCTGCCGTCCAGCACCGTGCTCGGACAGCCGCGGAGTCCGAGCGGCTCGCCGGGAAGGTCGGACATCAGGCGCAGCTTACACAGCGGGTCGTTGTATATCCGGTCCAAAATGAAGGTGAGAAAGGAAACGCATCTCCAGTTCACACTCTACAACATTAGAAAAAAGAGATGCTTGTCTAACATTTTATAGTGGTAATAGTTGATATACAATGGCTATTAAAGCCACTGTAGATAGATAAAACATGATAAAACATGCCAAAAAAGTTTAATCTCAGAAACTTTCTAGAAAAAAAACAAGGAAATTTCTGATTTTGAAAAGTGGAAAGAGCTCAGAAATTTTGATATTTATCTCAGAAACTTTCTAAAAACGTTTCAAAGTCAAATATTTTCTACTTTTGAAATTTTCTGAGTTTGAAAAGTAAAACAAATTTCGACCTTTCAAACTCAAATTTTTTAGGAAATAAAAATGGACATTTCTGAGATTAATCTAAAAAAAATTTCTGACTCAGAAATTATTTTTAGAAATTTTGTAAAACAAAAAAAAAAAAAAAAAAAGTTTCAAAAGTTGAATTTTTTCCACCTTTGGAAATTTTTGTGTTTGAAGAGTCAAAATATCAACTTTTGAAAATCCATAAATTTCCATATATTTTTCTAGAAAATTTCTTAGACAAATCTGAAAACTGAAAGTTTTTTCCAGCTTATTTGTGACTTTTCAATCTCAGAAATTTCCAAGTTCTTTTCAATAAAATTTCTATTAATCTGAAAATTTCAGCTTATTGGTGGAAATATACTCCTACTTTTCTTTCTTTGTCTATCTACAATTTCCTTAATGCTTTGTCTTAACAATATCTAGAGTTATGTCCAGAATAAAACATTTTCTTTGTGAAAGGAAAACTTCTTACAGCTGAATCGTCATCAGCAGAAACTCGTACTTCGTTCATTTCAGCATTTTTTCTCTCTAACAGGTAACTACAGGCGAGCTGCCTCCTGATCCCGCTCCTCTTCCTCCAGCTCTTCCTCCCATTCCCATTCCCAGTCCACAACCTCTACCTCCACAAGCCGCTGTGATGCCAGCTGCCCCCAAACAAACCCCGGCCCCATCGGAGCCGCCATCCATGGTGACCAGACCAACGGGTCAAAGTCAGAACCTTCCGCCGACAACAGCAGGAGCGTTTGTGTGCCAGGTATAACCACACGATTAAATCATTAATCTCATTATTTCATTCATTATTGATTCTTCCAGATCAACCATAAATGTTTTAAAGTTGTCATTCTGTATGCTCCGCTATAGGGTCATATAAAAAGAATGTAAACATTGAAAGATAAAATTCTTATAATAAAGTGATAATATTACAAGAATTTGGATCAATAAATTATCTTTTAATTGAATTGAATTAATGCTAGTTAGCACAGACAGTGGATAAACAGTTTTCCTGTAACAGTGAGTTATTTCTCCACCATTTGCAGATTTAGTAGCGCATACACAAGGTCGATTGACAGCACTAAGCCCCTCCCCCTGGCTCTGATTGGTTGTTTCTGGAGGGGAGCTCTTCGTTTCTTCAATAGCAGCTCAGGGAGGAAGTGGAGGAAATCGATCTTTTCACAGATTATTTGTCTCAGTTTAAACTGGAACAACAGAGTTAACAAATGCTCATAATACATATTTTTCTATAAAAGTTACACACTGCAGCTTTAAGTCTGCACACACAAATCAGTAGTGTAAATATAGCAACATTGTTCTGTTGAAGAGGAAAAGCCACTAAATCACCAAGGCGAGATCATCCTGACATCTAGCTTTGATGTGTTGATCTGGGTCAACACACACCTTCAAGTCTAGAACTCAGTTGACTTCCTGTACTGTCAGGTTGTATATTCAGTAAAAATTATGGGTCTATAAATTGTTGCTGGTTTCAGGTTTGCCAGAAGACTTTCCAGTTCCAGCGCATGTTGAACAGACACGTCAAATGCCACAGTGACACCAAGAGACACCTGTGCACCTTCTGTGGGAAAGGCTTCAACGACACCTTTGACCTCAAGAGACATGTCCGCACGCACACAGGTACGTCCTCGCTTTGATTTTCCTGCAGTATCCAGGTTCAAGAAGGCTTTAAATAGATGTATGAGCTCCCATTAGCTCAGGTAATGACAGGTAGTAAGATCAGATATCAAAAGTACGCAGATGACACACAGCTCTACATTTTGATGCCACCAGGTGACTCTGAGCCCATCCAAGCGCTGATAGAACAGATAAATGTGTGGATGTGCCAAAACTTTCTCCAGCTGAACAGAAACAAAACTGAAGCTATTATCTTTGGACATAAAGAGGAACGATCAAGTCTGGGAGTAGTGATGAACTCTGACCTCAACCTTCAGAGTCATGTAAAGATAGTTGCAAAGTCGGCCTTCTATCACCTGAAGAACATTTCCAGGATTAAGTAAGATCTAGAGAAACTCATCCATGCGTTTATCTTTAGTCACATTGATTACTGTAGCAGCATCTTCACAGGTCTGACTAATAAATCAACCAGATCCAGAAGCTGCTGCTGGAGTTCTGACTAAAACCAGGAAGTTAGAGCACATAACACCAGTTCTACAGTCCCTACACTGGCTCCCTGTAGCTCAGAGAATAAACTTTAAAATACTGTTGTTAGTTTATAAACCACTGAACAGTTTAGCACTACAATCTGCTGTCGTCATAGCAACCTTTCAGATCTCTCAGGTCTTCTGGTTCTGGTTCTGCTCTGCATCCCCAGAACCAGAACCAAACGTGGAGAAGCAGAATTCACAGCAAAAACACAAAATATTACCAAGTATTTCTGGTTTAGTTTCTAGTTCAAATATCTCTGTACTCTTGAAATAAGACAAAACTAACTTAGAAGTGACTTTTTTGGCAAGATGTAGGAGTTTTAGTAAATAATTCCTTAATATTATTGAAAAAGTTCTAGTTACATTGGCAGATTAATTCACGTAAAACAAGACATTTTTCACCTTTTATAATCTCTTTAATTATGAGTCTTGTCTCATGTTGTGTCTCAACATTTTCTCATGTTTCCTGGCGTAAACATTGTTTTTAAAGCATCATCCATATATATTTTCACTGGCGTGATCCATTGTAGAGTTAATTATGAGGCGAGTTTCTCAAAAACAAGCTCCTATATCTCACTGATAAGTTACTTGCAAGTTATTTTTGTCTCATTTCAACTGTACTAAGATAAAAAGTACTTGGTAAGATTTTGTGATTTTGCAGTGTTCAGTTTCTATCCATCATGAATCTGGAACAACTTCCAGAAAACTGCAAAGCACCTGAAACACTGAGTTCATTTAAATCAACACTAAAAACCAGAGTTGCTTTTGAACCACAATGAATGGAACATTGATTAATATGACAAAACGTGATGTTTGTTCTTGGTTTCTTCTTTATAGTCGGCCTTGTTGCTGAAATGTGCGATACAAATAAACTGGATTGATTGATTGATGTTTTCCAGGCGTCCGCCCATACAAATGCTCGCTGTGCGACAAGGCCTTCACCCAGCGCTGCTCCCTGGAGTCCCACATGAAGAAGATCCACAGCGTCACCCTGAAGTACGCCTACAAGGAGCGCCGCAACAAGCTGTACGTGTGCGAGGAGTGCGGCCACACGGCCGGCACTCAGGACGAGCTGGTCCGCCACCTCCACTCGCTGCACCCGGACAGCCCACTGCTGAAGGGGAAGGCCACGCGGCGGGTTGGCGGGCTGGGAACGCCGGCCTCCGGCTCCATCGGAGGATCCGCTCCCAGCTCGCCCCGGGAGGCCGACAGCGACGACACCAACGGATCGGCCGGGCAGTAGATCACCTCCAGAGACTGAGACAGGATGGATGAAGGAGGGGTGTGTTCTCTCACGGACATGTAGAGTGTTTTGTTTATATATTTATATTGATAGAAAGGGTTTGGGTTTGGGTTTGTTTTGTAAGAAAATTGGTAAAATGTTGATGCAGTAAGAAGAGTAAGGTTGACATGAATGAGTCAAAACATTATGACGTCTCAACTTTCATCCTCAGGGAATAATTTTTCATTTTTACTTTATCGCTCCAAGAACCTCAAACGGGGTGGAACCTTTTAGACGACGCTCCGGATCAGAACCTTTCATCCAACAACGCAGACTTTGTTCGCCTCATTTTGTTTTGGCTCATCTTTATATTTTTGCATGAGACTAAATATGCTACCAGTGGGTTTCTCTGTGCAACAGAAGAGATGAACTTTTCTAACGGAAAACACTTTATTGTTGTTATTATTATTAAAGCAAGTAATATATTACATAACATCGATTTGATCTTGTTTGTTCTTTTAAATAAATTATTTGGTGGGTTTTTTTAAATTTGCAGCTCAGGAGTTTAACAACTTGTCTAATGAGACTTTTTAAAATAAAGAAACAGCAACACCTCTGTTCAGATTTGTAAAACAACAAATAAATAACTTGAATAAAAGTTTCTTCAGAAAGGCTGGATAAGCATTGATTAAGATTATGCTAAATAAATCCAGGTAAATCTGACTGAAATGAAGCAAATCTTAAAGAAAATAGGTCAGAATTTTTAATTTTGGGCTTCTGATATCTGAATTTAAGCCATTTTCTATTATTTCAGGATAGAAAAATAATCCAATACTAATTTATTTGTGTAACTCTGAGCATGTGACTTTTACTAAACCAAGTAAGAATTGTTTATTTAATTCTAAAGGCAATAATAAAGGGCATTTTAGCAGTTATTCTGTGAGGTTTTATGCAATATCTCCAATAGAAGGAAACCAATGGTACAAAGTTTTAACATAATATATTTTTTTAGTTTCAAACTTTGTGCTCTATATTTTTAAATGGGCTACTGGACACTTCTACGAAATAAACATATTTTTCTCCTTTGTAACTTAATAATTCATTTTTCTTCTAAAATCTGAAAACATTGAGTTTACTTCCCTATTAAAATAATAATATTACATATGGAGAACCATTTCTGCAGCTCTAAGTATTATTTTTTGTAGACAGAAGAAGCTCCTTGAAATAGTTGCTGACCCAAGGCGTATATTTATTTATTTTAAGTATAATATAAAACAATCAACACAAACCAACTGCAATAAACTACAAAAAAAATTGTTTTCTTGACTTAAAATGGAAATTCAACATACAGCTGATGAATTGGGTGAACAAGTTTCGATTTATTCTGGATTTTAAAATTCAAACTGGGTCTCAGCCGCACTAATATGAACACATTTACATTTGTTCATGTAAATGTTGGTGACCTGGCGTAAACATTGTTCTTAAAGCTTCGTCCATTTATTCTAATTGGAAAATTTGATGACCAGAGGAAACACAAATTGACCAATTAGGCAGCGATGAGCTGAAAACGTTTGGATGAGTCAAGATGAGGCTTTCAAAACTGAAAACATGGTAGGAAGTGTTAATTACTGTGGTGGCAGCTTCATGGTGGATCTGTGCCATCGCTGGCGGTTCTGGTGTGTCACACAAAGTGGATTAATGAAGAAGAACAAGAACAAGAAGAAGAAGAAGAAGAGAGTAGTACCTCCATGTTCAAATAAAACCAACAAGCAGTTTTTCTGCTGAATCATTCATTTCTATGTATATAATATTTGACTAGGCAGTCTGCAACCAAAGAAAGTGAACAGTTATTTTGCCTCTCTTCTTGCTCCTCAAACCCGTTCTCTCTCTCTCTCTCTCTCTCTCTCTCCCTCTCTCTCTCTCTTTGTCTCTCCTGAGCTTCTTCCTCCCATGCTGCTGCTTCTCGCCAAGCTTTGGCCTGACTGTGTGTCTAAGAGAGGCTGCGGCTGGGGGAGAGGTTGGATTCCTGATCCCTGTCGAGTCTTGTCGGAGGATTCCAGCTGCTGTCAGCCCGGGGATACAGGGAGGAAAACCGAGGCGGATAACGGTCTGTGAAAGGTAACAGACACAGACTGTGTAGGAAAATAATGGAAGCAGGCAAAAGTAATGTCTTTTAATCAGGTTTATGCACTGTTTTTATGAATTTAGCGTTTTCTTGACGTTTCGAAAAGGTCTTCTTGGGGTTTTATTTTCAAATTTACATGGACTTCTCTTTCTGAAACTGCAAAACAGACAATAGAAAAATGTGTGAAAGCCCCTAACACTGGGGGGTCCAAACTTTTTGTCAGGTGGGCCAAAAATCTTCAGCTCAAAAGAACTTTAGAGTAAAAAAATATCATTTTTAAAACTGGAATAACCCAAAATGTTGAGATTTTTTTTTATATAGACCCGAAACCTCCAAAGGTTTTTGCATGTTTTCATTGTTAAATTAAGGACTCGATCGAAGAAAACTGAACAAATATTTAAGCCTATTCTCAACAAGAAAAACAGGATTTAATGTCAGTCTTCACTTGAAAACTCTTCCTGTTTTTAGCCAAGTTTTAATAAAGTAATTAAAAGCAGATTTCGGTGCACTAAGGTGTACCTTACAGTATAAGTTGATGAGTTACCACAACAACAGAAGGAAACCAGAAAGCTTGGAGAAGATGATCACTTTGTGTTGCATTTAATATTTTTAAATTACATTTTAGCTTAAAATCTAAGTATTTCTCCTGATTTATTTAATTTATTCCTGAATTATGACCAGGGAAGATGCAAAAATCAGTCCAGAGGCCGCAAATGGCCCCTGGGCCACTTTGAACATCCTTGCCCTAAAATAAATCAATCACTCATTAAACAAATTACAAAAATCCAACATTTAATGCATTTTTGTGTGTTCAGTGACAGAAAAACAAATTTCACCTTGAGGAACATAAAAAAACAACAACAAAAAAACAAAAACAAACTGCGACCTGCCCACTGTTATACTGGGTGTGGCCCATTCGTGAGGAAATTGTTGCACTGATTGGGCGTTTGGACACTTTTCAAATGACACATCCTATTGTCCTAAATGCCGGATAAACTCCTGGATTTAACAGATTATGATTCAGTCTATGTTGCATGTAATCTTTCTGCAGGTGTTTTTTTTTTGTTATTGCACGTTGACATTTTTAGCAGTTGATGATGTAACAAACTCAAGTCACTGACTGTTGATGTTTAAGTTATTAAGTTTTCCTGTCACAGCTTTCTGACAAGTCATGATCACATCTGCTGCAGCAGAATGTCATGTTTTCTTGTCTTTGCCATGTATGAACAGAAGCTAAGCCCAACAGACCACGTCCTGGTATGCAGGAAATCGTGAATTAGATTGATTACTGATTAAAAGTTCCCAGAAACTCTTCTCAGTTTAATATATTCAAGTATAAATCAAAAATAATGCTTGAGCTGTATTTGTTGTCTGTGATTTAATTTTTTTCATTGCATATATTGTTCTTATCAATGACTTTTTAAACATATAAGCCATTTTTAGAGTGAGATTATGCTGAATAATAACAAAATATTACAAAAAGACTTAAAAACAAGACCAACAAAACATCATTCGCCATAAAAAAGAAAAACTCAGAAGAATATTGCTTTTAGAAAACGCAAACAGACCTTCCTCACCGCTTGGTGTCGCTGTTTTCGCTTTGTTCGCCACAGCGCCGTGGATCACGTGACTGACGTCAATAAGGAAGTGCTTCGGTACGTTTGAAAACAAAGGCGCTAGCCAGCAGTTCAGTAAGAAAATAACACGGTGAGCAACATTATCGGACACAAAACTATCTTGTTAGAACTCTTTCTGATAAAACGTATGTTTTTACTAGTATTTACTTCAACAACCTGTTATTTCTTTGTGAAAACATTCAGATAAACACTCTAAAATGTTAGCGTAGCTTATTTAAATCATGTTTCCCTGCTCTTTTCTCGCGTTATTCAGTGAGTTTACCGCTACTATCCGTGTCCTATTGGGTTTCTACAGGGATGCCCGCTTCCGAGCCGGTTCGGTTCGGACGGAAACGCGCCCTGCCGTCCTGTCCGAACCCGTTGTTCCTCCAGTGGCTCACCGATCTCCGGGACGAGGCGAAGGAGAAAGGCCTGAAGATCCAGTACACCTACCAAAAGGTACCGGGCTCATTATGGACAAGTTCATCCTGTTGGACGTGATTAAGATCCATTTCTCTGGTCTTGTGTCCGTTATTCGCTAGATTTAAGTTAATATGTTCTTAAAGGCAAGATTTTCAGATACGGTTAATCGCTGGGGGTTTTCTATTACAAACCAAATGTTTGCTTTAAAGGAAAGCAGGCATTCAAAAATTGAAAGAGTGAGTGAAAATATTAGATATAACAACCATTGTTCCTGTGGAGAAATGCAGCTGTACCAGCAACAAAAGTACAGGAAAGCTGAAGCATGTAGCTTCATACAAATATAAAAGTAGTATAACATAAAAAAATATAGTTGAGTTATTTAAAAACATGATATTCAGAGTTAAAGAAATATGTAACTGAGTAGGTCAATTTAAAAAAATTAACAAAATGTGCCTGTGTAATTGTGATTGATCAGTGCTACAAGAAAAGATAGAGAAAAATTTATGATGTAATTTCATTGTCAACCAAAATGAAAACTTCAGATTTAGTTAAAAGAATAACAAGAAACACAAAGTCTTTTGTAAAACGGTAAGAGAAGTTTGCACAGAAATATTTGATTCAAATAACTTTTGTTTGTTGTATTCTTTCAGGCGATCAACTCTTTAAATAAATATCCACTTCCACTAAAAAACGCTAAAGAGGCAAAAATCCTTCAAAACTTTGGAGACGGAATCTGCAAAATACTGGATGACAAACTGCAGCGACATTACAGACAAAACGGTAAGAAACAGATGGCGAGGGCTGGGTCTGTGGAGGGACGGACTGACGGATGGAGGGAAGGACAGGCGGAGGGATGAATGGTTGGATTCACAGGCCGATGAAAGGAAGACCGAAAACTGTATGGACTGGGAGGATGGTGTATTATGGCTAAAAAGGAAAAATAAAGCTACCAAAAAACTCAGATATTTTTAGATTGTCAGAAATTTTCTAGAAAAAAAACGTGAAAATTTTGGAGTTTGAAAAGTCAAAAATTTGCAAGAAAAGTTAAGAAATCTCAGAATTCAGAAAGTCGAACATTTGCCAGAAAAAAATCAATTAATCTAAGAATTTTTCTTTAAAAAACCCTGACATTTCTGAGTTTGAAAATTCAAAAATTTGCTAGAAAAAAATATATTTTCAATTTATTTGAAAAATTCTAGGAAAAAAAATTAAATTTCTGAGTTTCAAAAGTTTATTTTTGAAACAAACTTTCAAACAAAAGCAAATTTTTTTACTTGAAATTTTTGTTAAAATTTCCAGTTTTTTTTTTATGTATTTTTGATTAATCTAAAACTTTCTGAGTTTTTTTGTGAAAATGTACTTCTCTGTTCTTTCCAGCTACGAAGGCCCTAATGCACTGTCATATGATTGACAGATGAATAGAATAAATGAATGGATTTGGTAGATAGTTGGCAAAGACAGATTTGTGGATTGAAAAGAAAACATAATGTTAAATCATAGCCAGGCTTGCAGGTTTAACTGAGTTCACTGTAGTTAAAAATAGTAGCAAATTTAAGAATATTTACGCTCCATCCTATGTTTCTTCAAATGTTAAACATTATCACAGCACAGAGAAAAAATATTTTA